AATGGCTGTGGGCTCCTAGGATACTCCTTTGCCCGACTGGGCCAGCTGCCTGACGTGTCGCGTCGCCCTACCGTTGAAACCTTACCCCCCAGCCCCCCGCCCCTGCACCCTGCGGTGCCCTTTCCCTCAACCCCGAAAGCGAGCCCTTGCAGAAGCTTTTTCCTCGCTTGTTCGGCCACTCAGCTTTGTTCGATGGCCCTGCGGTCCCGGAGGGGCAGGGTTGAGGCGAAGAGCACCCCCCCCCCTTTCTGCAGTGAGGGTGGGGTCTGCCGCGCGAGGTCCGGAGGTGGTTAACCCATCCTGCGAAACCCGACTCTCCCCCTCCCGCCTGAAAGGACCTTGAGAACTGGCTTCGAGACCGGGGACTCAAGCTGGCAACTCCGGCTGCCAGTACCTTCTGGAACTCCGCTCCGTGGCCTGGTGGAGAAAGCCCTCCCTATGTATAGTCTCCGGAGTCTGGAAAATGCCTTCCCTGACGCTGGCGCTAACCTGATACTCCCTGGGCCTCCTTTTGTAAAACAGGGTTTTGTTAGGAGGTGTGGGGGTTGGAGAGGAGGAAGTGACTATTTTTCAGTTGTTTACCTTTTACTTGGAGGTACTGGGCTGGGGGGAGTAACAGAAAACTTAGTTTTGCGATCCTCTGTGTTTTTTTTTGAGCAGACTTGCCCAGATTGAGACGAAATATCTAGTATAAAAACTTAGATTAGCCGCTCAGGAAGTAACCTCTCAACTTCGCGATTATAAAATCGTAGGTTAGACATTTGGAAGCCATTGTTTCGAGCTTCGACCAATTTATTATTGAATATATTTGTAGCTGCTTAGCCAGTTAACTTGGGTGGGCGTCAGGCAGCATAATTTCAGGCTTCTGTTCATGGCCCAGTTTTCTTGAGGTTGACTAAAAAGAACCGTTTTTATGTGGACTTACTTAAAAGTATCATAGCACATGGTAATCGCTGCATATATACATATAGAGAGCTATAAAAATAGCGGTTTTTTACTGAGTTTTTGAAAGGAGGTGCCCTGTTTCATTCATGTAAAAGTCATCTTCTAAAGCTTGACATTAGATTTCAAATGAGCTGAAATTCAGATGAGTGAAATTCAAATAATAAAACTTCCAGTTCGTGTTCAGTTACCCTGATTTCTTGCTGCGATTCTCTGCTTCTGAATTGAACACATGGTACCTTTGGTAGTTTTCCAAGGGTCTTCTGGTTACAAGAATTTGACTAACAAATGTTGGAAGATAGCTTTGTATTGAGTCTCCTGATTTGTGAGAGATTGAGTGTTCGTGCAGAGCCTTTAAAATGGGAACTGATGGAAAACCAAACTGAATCTTTGATTACTTTAAAAGCCATTGCTAATTGAAGCAAATGGGATAAAGTAACTCTCCTGCCTGAAACGACTTTCCTAATCAAATTGAAAAAAGTGTTTTCAGTCGTATAGTGGTTACACGGAGGGTTTTTTTTGTTTTAAGGGGGAGGAAGTTTGGTGGCCATGTTGCACAAGTAGCAGTAGTTAGGACTCAGCAGCAAAATTGATGGTTGTGTAAAAATATTTTTTGCACTTGAGGTCTTTATTTTTGGTTGAAGGCAGACTATATACATTAGTTCTTGAAAGATACCTTACTTAACCTTGATCGTATTTGAAGAGGGATACTCCCAAGCCCTTGGGAATTTTAAGGTAACTTGGAGAGGCATCTAATAAGTATATATACCTGGTTGATTTTTGTGTGTGTGTGTGTGTCACATGCTTTATTCCTGCTCAGCACAAGAACAAGGAAATAGATTTCATTTGTGTCTCAAAGTAGATAGTATAGAGTTTATAGGTGTTCTATTTGGCCTTTTTAGTGGCCCATATGTTCAACTTTTAAAATTACTACGGATTTCTAGATTGCAAGAGGACCCACCTGTGGGTGTCAGTGGCGCACCATCTGAAAACAACATCATGCAGTGGAATGCAGTTATATTTGGGTGAGTTGAAAGATAAAATAGCTGATAGGTTTGATGATATTTAAGAAAAAACGGGCAACTGGGAAAAGAGGCTGAGAAACTGCAAGGTAAATTAGAAAAAACATTCCCATAAAAGTTTTAGTGGTTACATAAAATTTATTTGCATTTTGGTGTTAATACGTATGATTTTTATAAGAACTTTGGGTTTTACTTGATAAAAAATACCATTTGACACTAAAGGAGAAGAGATAAATTATTTTGTACAAAATGTACCAAGCAAGTGTTTATGCTTGTATTGTTTTAGAACTGTAAAAAGGCTAGGAACCAAAAATACTGAGAACATATACTATGGCAAGAATTTAAATGAAAAATGTTTCATAGCCCAATATGAAATTCAGGCATACCTCAGAGATACTATTTATTTTTAAATATGTCTTTATTGATTTCAGAGGGAGGAAGAGAGAGATACATCAATGATGAGAGAGTCATTGATCGGCTGCCTCCTGTACACACCCCTACTGGGGATTTAGTCTGAAACCTGGGCATGCGGGTAGACCATGAATTGAACCGCAATCTCTTGGATCACAGTTTGATGCTCAACTGCTGAGCCATGCTGGCCAGGCTATTTATTTTTTATTTTTTTATTTTTGGCTGGTGGTGGACCTTGTTTTCAATTCATAAAAAAAAAGGCAACGTCTGTGAAGTGCAATAAAGTGAAGCACAATAAAATGAGATATGCCTGTAATTGAATGGCATCTTTGAGAAGCAGTCTTACATTTTACATACATATTGCATATATGCTTTTTAATATAAAATTTCCTTATGACTTTTTTGTTTATTTTTCCCAGACTTGAAAGTGTTTTGAACTAAAACTTTAAAGGAGAATACTTTCATAAACAGTTGAGTTCCCTCTGAATTAGTTATGAGAGTCTACCTCAAAGACTAGTGGAAAAGTGAGCATATTCTAAAGTGATTATATTAAATTCAGGCTGTTAATGTGCTTCTTTGACATCCTGAATATGCCTTACAAGTAATAGTTAAGCTTCATGCTGTTGCTTTGGGAAAAATGAAATTGAGGTGTGGAGGCAGGGAAAAGATTTGAGCAAAAGAAACTGGCTTTCTTGATGACTTCAGTTATGTCTATCCAATTGGAGTGAGAAATTGCACTGTTGGAAAGCAGAACACACCTGCCCTGGCCTAGTGGCTCAGTTTGTTGGAGTGAATGTCCTGTACACCAAAAGGTTGAGGGTTTGATTCCCAGTCAGAGCACATACCTAGGTTTTGGATCTGATCCCTGGGTCAGGAGCATACAGGGCCCTACCGACGGATGTTTCTCTTTCTCCCTTCTCTCTCTAAAATCAATGAACATATCCTTAGGTGAGGATTTAAAAAAAAGCGGAACACACTGTTTTGGTGATGTACTTAAAGGGTATTGATTTCCATTACTGATGTAAATTAAAATAGGACCTTTTCTCTTAAGAAAACACACATTTACAAAGATGACTGGATAGTATTTATGAACTGAATGATTTTTGTGCTAAAATTATGACAATTTTGTTTTGTTTTGTAAAGCTTCCCTAAAAGGAAAACTTAGAAAGTAAAAATTACCTTTTATGTTTACATCTATAAAAATGTAGGGCTAAGATGGTATTAACCCTTTGCGGTCATATTAAATTTGGACATGGGTGTCGTACTGGTCAGAATTAATTTCCATTGAAAGAGCAGTGATATGTAACATGCAAGATTATGAAGGATAAACAAGATTTATGAACTGATACATGAATGGAGTTAAGATTTGTACGGTTCCTTGCTGTGGTGGCTGAGAGCAGACATACAACCGGAACGGTAAAAAAGCTTTGGTGGCTAAGAATAGACAAGCGACCGCAAAGGGTTAAGTTAACAATATTTTAAAAACTCCACAAATCATCAAAATGAGCCCCTTTCTGTTTGAGTTTATCCTTTCCACTCTTGAAAAATCAGGAAAAAGAATGAAAGAATGAAAAACTTTTTTTAATCAGATATCTTCTTGTTTTCAGACCAGAAGGGACACCCTTTGAAGATGGTAAGTCATTCTCCATGTTTTCTATAGCATTCAGAGGCTTTTTTAAAGTAGGAATTTTAACACCAATGTGTCTACTAAAAACGGTTTTCTCTTGTTAATAGGTCAAATTAAAACTACTGCTACTGAGAATTGTTTACAAGACTTTTTCTCTTATCAGCTTGATCACCTTTGTTGTCAGTTACTCTGTTACTTTAATGTTTGGCTAAGGAACCATGACTTAGATGGTGGGGTCTGTGTTGAGAATAGTTTAAATTTCAGTGACCTTTGTAGCATACTAACAGTGTTCCTGAGGTAAATACCAGGAGGGTAATCATGTCCCTTTTTTTTAAACTTCACTATCTATGGATAGGATGTTGAGCTGAAATGGTTCTTATATATAGCTGCCAGTAGTTTCACATACAGCTAGCATTCAACACCCATAAATAGCATTCTGCATAATCTTTTGCATCTTAAATTCATTATTTTCACCAAGAGCCAGGGAAATGGAAAACTAATTCAAATATTTATTTATAATTGAGCTTCTCAAATTGATTTTAACCAGGTATTAGATTTTTCCTAATTATAGCATGGTGTTTTGTTTTTTTAATTGTTAAACAGCCCAGTAGGTGCAGCTTAGTTGAGTGTCTTCCCATGCACCAGGAGGTTGCTGGTTTGATTCCCTGTCAGGGCACAAGCCCGAATTTAGGGCTCAATCTCCCAGTAGGGGGTGTGCAGGAGGCAGCCATTGATGTTTCTCTCCCCCCCCCCCCCCCCCCCCCCC